TTGATAAGTAATATAGATTTCTTTATGTACTTGTACATTTTTGAAATCTAGTTTATCCTTACATGTTTTTTTTATGTGATTTAGACTGCAATGATCATGATTTTTATGAGAGTAGGACAGGGTTAGCAAGAGAGGGCTTTTGGAGCTACTGTGGGGCCATGTTGTTGGTGATGTAGTGATGACTACTTTTGTTAATTTGTATAGATGTAGGTTGACTAACAACTTAGGGTTTTATTTTATGTACTTATCAGATTGTTGTACATATACTTGTACAATTGTTTTAGTTGTATCCACATATATACTTGTTATAGTATACATATCCTGATATTGTGAGTATATAATTCTAAGAAATTAGTTGTATTTTCATTGCTAGAAGTAGTTGATCCATAAATATGATGATCATAACGGGATGTTACAATATATTTATTTAATTTAAATAAAATCCAATTATTATAGAAAACAATACTTACATATTCATACAATATTTAATGTTATTCAATAGTTAATTTTCCTTATAATTTATTAATTATGATACTTATTAAATTCATTAAAAAATTATAATTATTTTTTTGACAAAAAAATGACAATTATTAAATATAATTTATTTATGAAATTGAATAAATGTTATATATGTGTTTAAGTTGTGAATGAATTTATAAATCAGGATTTACTATTAAATAAAATATAATTATTACAATATTTAATATATATATATATATATATTAATTAATTAATTAATATATTATACATGCACGCATTAAAAATGCATTATTTATTTTTATTTTTTAAGATAGTTTATTTATAAAATATATTTAGGAATATAAAAAATTAAAATTCACATTAATATAATGAAAATAAGATGATAAATAATTTTTAAAAGTAAATTTTTATGTATATTTTGTTCTTTAATTAAAATAATAGTTTTTTTTTTACTTTACGAATATTGTCTCTTACTAATTTTTATATGCAATTATATATATTTACCTCTAGTCAAGAATAGGCATGACAACGGGGCGGAGCGGAGGTGGGTTTTACGTTCCCCGCCCCCGCTCCCGCAAATTTAAATCGCCTCTTCCTCCGCCCCCATACTCGCCGGGAATAAAATCTGGGTCCCCATCCTCGCCTCTAGCGGGGTTCGGTTTCCCCGCCACGCCCCCACCTTGCTCCTATTTTTTTTTCTTTTTTTTTTAAATAAATATGAACAATTTTTAGAAAAATAAAAGAAAAGTAAAATAATATAAATTCTGCAGAATTTCTTGCGAAAAAATTTGCAGGAAACTTTCCTGCGAATTTTTTTTTGCAGGAAACTTTCCTGCGAATTTTAAAATTCGCAAAAATATATTATCCACGAAGGTATTACCTGCAGATAACGAAAAATAATTTACAGATATTTCTTACAAATTTTGCTACAATTTTAATAATCATAGAAATTTTTTTCCATGGTAAAAGTTTGCAGAAAATATTGTAAGAATTTTATTTTGTTTCTTGCAGATTTTCTTGCAAAAATAAATTCGCAAGTAATGTTTACTAAATGGTAGAAAAATTTTGCAGGTAACTTTTCCTGCAGATTTTCTTGCAAATTTTAATCCGCAAGAAAAATAAAAAAAAATATTTAAATTTATATAATTTTAATATTTTAAAAAAATTTCAAGTCCCACATCGGTTGAAAATAAAACAATTAAAGAGTATATAAGTTGGGGAAACACTTACCTTACAAGTTGATTTGTATGGTTGAGTGTTAGGCTTATAATCTACAATCTTAGAATTTGAAAGATTATGTATCACATGTTGGAGGCATGAAAACAAATATTTCGGATGAATTCATTGTGAGCATTTGAAAGTTGAAGAATTATTGATAGAATTAATAGTAATTTTTTAAATTTTTTCATAAAAAATATTCCTGCAGAATTTCTTGCGAAAAAATTTGCAGGAAACTTTCCTGCGAATTTTTTTTTGCAGGAAACTTTCCTGCGAATTTTAAAATTCGCAAAAATATATTATCCACGAAGGTATTACCTGCAGATAAAATTTCGTAGAAAAATTTGCAGGAACAATGTTTCCTGCGAATTTTTCATAAAAATTTGCAGAAAAAGCCGCATGTAATAAAAGAAATTATAGTAGTGTAGATATCACTCTTCGTGTAGTTTCGAGGATGAAATATAAAAGGTTGTTTCCAATTATGTGAATTCTAGTGATGCTTGCGAGCTTCAACATGTCCATCATCTAATTACTAGTGATGTTTGACGTGTCTTCATTGGGCTTTCCCCTCCTTTAATCTACGAGGATTTAGAGCAACTTATCATATGGATCTTTCATAATGGCGAATGCATATAGACTTTTACTTAATTAATACTCCACCTACTACTACTCATTCAATATTTGGTTATATTTGAGATTGGGAAGGGTCTCAATGTTGCGCAATCAATTTAATCACTAACAACTTCAGATTCTATAGGGGATGCCTTAGAACACCACATGCCCAGTATGCTTGGAAGAGGATGAAACAATTATGCATATCTTGAGAGATTGCAAATTTGCAAACGCCATTTGGAGCACCATATTGGATGCCCCATCCAAATCGGGGCGGGTTCGGACGAGTACCCACGAGGGCGGGTTAGATTATCATGCCTAGTCAAGAATTACATCCTCAACAAAATTGTGATTTTCAACATTGTAGTATAAAATGAGAAATATATAAAAATTACATTAAAAATGTAGTCAATAATAAAAATATATAATAAATCACTTCAATTAATTTAATTGTAATATTTGATGTATTTCATTTTTTTTTATCGTAATTTCAATAAAAAAGGTTTACGATTTATATCGTTAATCTTAAAAAATACCCACATTATGTAAAAAATATATATTTATAGTAATTCTTCTAAAATAGACTATAATTTAATAATAAAAAATATGTTTTTCATATTTAAATCATATTTTTTATATTCAAATAAATCAGTGTAATACATTGATTACATATAATATCATATAAAATGACATGTAAAGCAATTTGGTTGAAATAACTTATTTCTTAAATTTACTAACATTCTATACTTCCTATGAAATGCACATTGCTGTTGTCTTAGTTTGTTGGATTTAATTCTTTAAAGTGAATAAAAATTTAAGTAAATTGATCTCAATCTAGTAATAAGAATTGAAATAAAATTTGTGAAATCTTTTGTATATAATATTATAAAATGTCATTATACAAATTTTGAATGTATTTTAAATAGAAGTTATTTCAAAATATATTGAAATTGAATGTGATGCATTCACATTGTATAAATTTTTTTTAAAGAGGTATAATTAAGTAATGTGTTTGAGTTGTTGTAAATCTTTTGGTATTGAGTTCAACTTATAATTTTTTTAAAAAAATATAAAATTGGGTGAGATTTTTGAATATTAGTTACTAAGTTGTGAAAAAATAAATAGAAAAATAACATTGTAGGGTGTGCATGAGTATCATAATTGTCACCTATCTTGTGGCTTATTTGCTCCACACGTTCTTGTCACTGGCCCAACATTGCACATTATCATTTATTTTATTTTTTGCAAGCACCCCTCGTTGTTCTAGGAATCCTATGCTAGCCCCTTCTATGTTCCACTACATTTTATTCTATGCTTTCATTTACTTGCACGTGATATGGCCATCTATACATTGTTCAATTTTTCTCTCCCATTAAAATAAAGCTAAAGAACGAAGATTTCTTTCTACTTGTGTCATTTTGTGTTTCGATTTTCATTCATGCATACATATCACAACAAATAAAGGAATAAAACCCATTATGGAATCTAACACACCTCCACTCTAATGTCAAAAACATTATTTCTTTAATAAGTTAACAACTATATAAATACTTATCAACAACATATGCATATGTTATATTATTGGTATAAAATATTTATCAATTTTATTAGTCAATGATTCAATTTTATCAAAAAACTTAATTTATTTTTAGTGAGATCTTTCTCTTTAATTATATTATTTTATTTATAAAATTTGAACTCAAAACCTTAATTTAAGGAAACTAAATCCAGTTTCACTCAAACTAACTATTTGTTGATCATATGTTTGTAAAAATTTAATTTTTCTAATAAAAGAGTGTATTAATATTTAAATTCTTTCAACAATGACATAAAAAAAAAATCTTTTTAAAATGGGAAGACACTTTTACATTAATTTTTATACAACTTACGATTTAATACCAAATAAACATATTAATAACTCATTTAATACATGTCATATGAAAAAAAGTTTATAACATTTCAATCTTACATGCATCTGATAAGTTTTACAACTGGAAATTTGGGCAGTTTGCATAATGTCTTAGTTGTCACCATTGTAAAACAAAATGTGATGAGTTTTATTTATTTATAATAATAATAATAATAATAATGATATGTTTGGTTGATTCCCTAGTAACGAGGGTTATGAAATTTGCAATCAAAGGAGAATTGTTTGGGTAGGTGGGTTCGAGTAAGACAAGAATAGGGCGACAGGTATTTAAAAATAAAATGGCATAACTATTTTTTTTGGGGCATAACATTAATTCAAACCAGATTTGAAACAAATGTAAGCAAATTGATTATAGTAATCAATAATAGCGGCTATTAAGCTGTCAAAATTAATAGCAGTATAATAACAATAAATAATAGCTTGATATTTTTTCCCCTTCTTTATGAGATTTGATATGCTAAGCACCAAAGTAGGGAAACGAAGTTACAATTTCTCGATTGATTTGAAGGCAGTTGGAAGATATTTTTCCATGCTGTTAATGACCCAGTAAAACTTCCAGAGACTTCAGAAGGAGAGATATTTGATTTTAATTTGATTATTCTTTACAATGTATTAAGCATAAATAAGAAATAATAAATATGTATATACTAATAAATTAAACATTAAATACATGAATCAAAAAATATTAAATATATATGTATATATATATATATATATATATACATATATATATATATATATCATATGGGTGAAGCATGATAGTGATTGGTTTCAATCTACATGCTCATGATCTGGTGACAGAGAACTGGTGACCCACATTGGTCATTGGGGGTGGCCTCTTTCTGTGCTTCTTCTTTCTAATTGATTGAACCAAATTCTTCAATTTCTCTCTGCATCATTGCTTTAACATTCTTAATTTTTCTTCTGCAATCTGTTTATGAATTCAAGTTAATATCTTGGAGAGGTTTTAAATTTCAATTGGTGGTTTTGACTATATGTTTCTTTTATCCATCTCTTGAATCTTCCTAAAACAAATTTGATTAGAGAGTGAGAGTTTTGTTTTTTGTTTTCTAGCAAAGCAAAAAATTCAAAGTGATACCTTTGTTAAGGAAATAGGAAAACACACAAACATGATAAAGTCCTGCATATGAAACAGAAGCCAACAAAACAACAATTAAAACACACCCAGAGAGGTACAGAGAGACACCCTTTAAAGGCTTGCTTTAACTACTGAGCTACTACAGAAGTGGCCCTCCTTTGTGTTTGTAGTTTTCTACCTTCCTTTCTTCCTCTCTTTTTCTTCTTTCTCCTTAACCAGTTCTTTTTTCTCTATTGTCTTTCAAGCATAGGTTATATGATTCTGTTTTCATAGCAGGATTATTGAACCACATACATCCAATCTCAACCAACTCTTTTTTCTCCCTTATTGCCTTTCAATTTTTCTCTAATCCTTGCGGGCAAAACATATTACAAATTGATGTCTAATTTGTACAATCAGATTTCCTTACCTCCCTCCCAAAGAGCCAATTCACCAAACATAAACGTGAGAAGCAATTTTGATGTTGATAGGTATGTAAAAGGGTTATTCTTTTGAAACTTTTGTTTTTCATTTGTAAATATGTTTATCAATTTCAATTGAATTAATTTCTGGGAATATGTTTTGTTTATGATTGATGTAGTCAGTACTTAACTGAGCTGCTGGCAGAACGCCAGAAGCTTGGACCTTTCATGCAAGTCCTACCCTTCTGCACCAGACTCCTTAATCAAGGTCTGTTTTTTTTTTCTTTTTCTTCTTCATATCCATGTATTCAAGGATTCTGCTGTGAATTTTCTCCTCTTGTTGTTCCATTCATTTTAATTGATCTCTCTTGTTTCATTTGAATTAGGCCAAGTCATAACATAAACTCAGTTTAATTTCTGGTTACATGGACTGGTTTTTTACTGTTGTTTCTCTTCAATGGTTTTAAATTGCGGTCGGTTTTGTCGTGTTCCTTAATGTTGCGAAAAAAATCGCAGAAAAATGCAGTTGATGCGGTCACAATTGTGGTGGGTGATCGTTTTTTATAACCTTTATTTAATCTTGTTTTACATGCAATGAATTGTCGATTGAATGAATCATGGTTACTAAATGCCTAAGGAATTAGAAGTCCATACATATGTTTTGAAATACAAGCAAATCAATACAGTTTAGAATTCTTATCTATTGATCAATCATGAAAAGGAAACTTCTTAGACTGATACTTTTTGGACACTAAAAGATGGTGGTAATACTGATTAGTGATTACTCTCCTTACATACAAATGCAAACTCTTTCTAACATTGACTTTATACATCCTCTAGTTTAGCAAATAAATAAATTAGGCTTTGTCCTTTGCATGACTAGAACAAACCTTCAGATGATCAGCTTTGTATTAATGCTTTCTATAACATTTAGTTTTGATAATCATGATGTTCATATAGATGGCATCCATTGTTACTATTATGTCATGATTTGAGTATATGTGTATGATACTACACTTCATATTATAGTTGGCTTACTATCTTAGAGGTTGCATAAACATGATTTATGTTCCTTGATTCAATAATCTTTGTACAAGCTCTTATTATTCACTATTATCTTATTATTATCAGAGATTTTAAGGGTCACCGGAAAGAATGAATTGTTGCAGAACCAAGGATTTAGTGAATTTGATAGAACTCGATTCATGAATCCGAGTCATATGGCTTCTTCAAACTTAACACCAAACTTCACTGGTTGGAACAGCCTTTCTCATGAGGTAAGTACCTTGGTTTTTATGTTCTATTCAGTGTAAAATTCTCTACCACTCCACAGTCTCCCCTTCCTAATTTTTCTTGTATCCCCAACATAATTTTTATATATCATTTATGTATTGTTGCAAAAAAGAATCTAGTTCTTATCCTATCCAGTTCTGGTACTTAACTGATTAGATTCCCTCTTCTACATTGTATTTAAGGTGGCAATATTGCCTCTGTTTGTGAAATTTGTATATGCTTTAATCTTTGTTCTATAACTCAGTAACTACAACATGATTTCTTTCATACCTAAGATGATTTTTTATTCCTCTTATGTTTCTGTTTGGTTTTAAACTTTAGTTTCTTTTACTAATTGGTTAAGCTTGTCATACATCAGAGATTATCTGGAGTGCAAGGACTAAATATGGATTGGCAAACCTCACCAGTTGCTCCAAGTTCTCCCATTGTGAAGAAGATACTGCGCTTGGATATTCCTAAGGATAGCTATCCTAATGTAAGACTTTTCACATACTTTATAGCTATTTACTATGTGCAATAAATCATGCTTCCTTGTCATGTATTGATAGTTTTATAAGTTTAATTTCTATGGGGTGAATTTATTTTTACAGTGTCAACTAACCAAAAATCATCTTAGGTATGACTTTTAAGATACTTATCGTAATACAAACTTAACATATACGATGATTTATGATTAGTTGACCGTGTAAACTTTATATTGGTAATGCATGAACTGTTCACTCTAGTTTTAAATTCTGTTGACCTGAGTTACTAAGGCTGTTTTGATTTTCAGTTTAATTTTGTTGGCCGGCTTCTTGGCCCTAGGGGTAATTCACTGAAGCGAGTGGAAGCTACCACAGGTTGTCGTGTATTTATCAGAGGGAAAGGTTCAATTAAAGACTTGGACAAGGTATCATTTCTAGCTTATTGCATTGTCCTTTAACTCCATAGAGCCTAGTTATAGTGTCATCAAATTTTCATAGTTCCTCATTTCAGTTCGTTAACATTTTCTGTTGGCTCCACAACATATGTTGTTTGTAACCTTTAAATTGTAATACATTTTTTACTCTGCAGGAAGAGTTGTTGAGGGGAAGGCCTGGCTATGAGCACCTGAATGATCCACTTCACATTTTAATTGAAGCTGAACTTCCAGCCAACATTGCTGATGTAAGGTTGAGGCAAGCACAGGAAATCATACAAGAGCTACTTAAACCAGTGGTACTTCTCTCCCTTTTTAACTCTCTTGCATAGCTCAGATATACTGCTTCCAGTCCTTTTATAAAAAACAAAAGATAATGTAAAATACACCATCATTTGTTTCTTATAAAAGAATCTGGAGGGAGTATTCATTAATGAAATTTCCCCCTACTTCTCTTCCTTAAGATATGATTCTTTAGAAATAACCATTCGCGACTAGTACATATTTCATTTAAAATAAACAACTTCTTTCTTTATTTGCATCACAGCTACCTCTTCTATTTACCAATGATTGCCTAATGTTGGAGGGCAATATTGAAACATGTTAAGGTTATATTTGGTTACATGTTTGCGTCTTGTAACCACAGTTAGCTGATCTCAAATGCAATATCTATATCTTTGACAAAAGATTTTCTGTTCTGTTGAATGCGAATTACAAAGAAACCTCGGTTGAATCAAAAGTAACAAGGCTATTGCTTTTTTTTAATTTCAACATTGGTTTAGAAAGTTAAGTTACTCAACTTAACTTTCTAACTATAATTCAAACACACATTAAGTCATGCTTTTTTTTTTTTTTTGCTTTCAGTAATGTTGTTTTTTTTTTTTTTTGCTTTCAGTAATGTTGTTTTTTTTTTTTTTTGCTTTCAGTAATGTTGTTTTTTTTTTTTTTTGCTTTCAGTAATGTTGTTTTTTTTTTTTTTTGCTTTCAGTAATGTTGTTTTTTTTTTTTTTTGCTTTCAGTAATGTTGTTTTTTTTTTTTTTTGCATTCAGTAATGTTGTTTTTCTTTCCTTTGAAGGAAGCCTGCTGTAACCAGAAAACTGTTGCTACTCTTCTTTTGTGCCTACTTTTGAGCCAAATTTTCAATGAGCAAAGCCTTAGGGAGAACTAACATTTTGGAGAAATTCATGTATAGTTAAGGAAGTGTTTCTGATTCTCCTCCCTTTTCATGTGCAGGATGAGTCTCAAGACCTTTACAAAAGGCAACAACTGAGAGAACTCGCTATGCTTAATTCCAACTTCAGAGAAGAGAGCCCTCAACTGAGTGGTAGTGTCTCTCCATTCACTTCTAATGAAATAAAACGGGCCAAAACTGATCAATAGTGATTGTATGTTGAGAATTGTTGCATTGCTTGAATGCTTCTTGTAACTAAATTTTGTAAAGCTGCGATGAAAAGGTCTTGCTGATTTGATGCTGCTGATTTGGAGAACACAATAAAGGAGAGAAAAACATAATTCATTGTCTCTAGACAAGAAAAATCATTAAACTGATTAAACAATATTTTGACCTATTTATCTCTCCGTTTGTATGCTTATCAATATGACATTGCTGGGGTTTATAAACTGTTTATTTATAGTATTGGAAAAATGTGTTTCTATATCATGTGTACTTACCTTTTTTTAAACCCAATGTTTCTCTTTATCGAAAGTTAGAAACTGATCTTTTAAAGTACTAAGATCCATTTAAGGGATAAATTTTACTTAATAGATGTTTATCCATATGTATTGATTTAAGGATTGAATTCCTCTATACATATTTAAGAGATGGTTATCCAACAACCATACATGTTAGTTAAATGTGTACTTTACAAAGCTTGGTATTACAATACTTTGTTCTCAATATAATGAGACAAAGTTTTGCCATATGAGAACCTTAGTGAGCATTTAAGGAGTTGATTTTTATTAACAAATGTTTATCCTTACATACCAATTTAAAGATTGAACTCTTGATCACATATTTAAGAGATGATTTATCCAGCAACCATACATGTTGGTTAGATGTGCACTTTACTAAGCATGGTATTACACACTTTGTTCAAGCTACAGATGTTGGTTAGATGTGTACTTTACCAAGCATGGTATTACAGCACTTTGTTCAAATCATACATGCTGGTTAGATGTGTACTTTACTAAGCATGGTATTACAACACTTGGTTCTCAGTATGATGAGTCAAAGTTTTGCCAAGTGAGCACCTTAATGGGCATAATATTGCACCACTTTGTTCTCCATACCATGACCACTTCGTTGAGACAAAGTTTGGCCATATGAGCACCAACCAAAATCAACTATTCAAACTGTACTTTTTAACAAACCCCTTTTTGTAGAGCACAAAGCCATGTCTTGGGGATAACGTCATTTGGTGGGGTCTTTGAACTTAATGTGGATGTTGATGCTATTGACCGTAACTCTGCTGAGACAAGCTAACCTACTTTTGCGTTGACCTGTAAATGATTGTCTCTGTAAAGTGGGGATATTCTAGATTTCATTTGTCCACAATGGAGCAATCATGTCACTGATCCCCACTAGCTAGCTTTCTCCACACCCCTTTACTGGACCTCGTTTGTACCATAAAGATAAACTTTTTTCTATGATGGGAATAAAGATGAGCTTAAAGTGGCTTTGTAACAACATACTTGGACTCAAGAATTAAGGTAAGAAGAACATCATCCATCATTATCATATAATATTCTTTTAGTTATAATCAACAGAATCAGACACTAAATTTGTCTTAATAAGTTTATACACTTGAAGATATTCATTTATTTTATTTAAATAACTTATTTTGCTTAACCCTGTGGGGTGACCCATTTGGCCTACCCATTAATCTGTTTTGTTCTATAAAAAAAAGAAAATAGCTTGTAAGAGTACCTCTAACACATGATTCTTGGGTTAGTTTATATTTCAGTTCTTATAAGAACCTTTTATTAGAAAATGATGTGCTGACAATCTCGTTTTCTTAAACAATAGGAATTGACTCTTAATTCAGCAACAGATTCTTAGCAATAAAATATACCAACAACCATAGATACATAAGGAAAAAAAAACGACTATTGAATAAGAAATAACAGTAGCATAACAAAAAAGTTAAAACTTTAACCATTAAGATATGGAAGATGGAAAAAGAAATGAATCTTGAAAAATGAAATCGAAGGATATTAAAAAAAGAAAAACCCGGATGATCCCGTTTTACCATTCGCCGTCACGTGTGTCATATTAAATTAATATTTAATTATAATAATTAAGTTAAAATTTTAAGTTGTCACAAAATAATTTTTTATAATACCAAAAAACATTGGTGGACCAGCTAGTGGATCTTCCAATCCATAGGTGGATTGCAACTTTAAGCCCAAAATTGTCGAAATAATCAAAATTGTCGATTTTGTCATCCCTACCAACTTTCTTTCCCCCTCTCCTTAGTCTTTCCTTCTTTGTGTTATTTCTTCTTCTCTTTCTTTAAGTATAAAATTTGTTGACTTGTTCCATTTGTTGTTGTACAAATAACATTATATA